TGGCGGCGCGGTGAACGTACGCGTGCTCGGGGATGTGCAGCAGGATGAAGACGGCCATGTGCCACAGGCCGGCGCTCTCCAGCTGCGCGGCGTAGCTGGCGTGGAGGAGGCCCTGCCGTGGGGCGCTCAGGTGGGTGTAGTGCAGCGCCTGCAGGACGCCCCACAGGTGCCAGCTCAGGCGGTAGTCCAGGCGCTCCCAGGTGACGGCGAGAGGCTCCAGCAGCTGCTGCAGGCCGTAGTGTCTGCAGGGCGACAGGAGAAGCGTTAAAGTAGCGCTCTGCACGTTTTACCCAACCAGCGGCTGAAGCCTGGTTACCTGTCGCTGTAGAGTTTGAGCAGGTGGAAGCAGAGGTCGTACAGCGGCCGTTTGGACGCCTCCTCCAGATCTGGCTGCTCCGCCTCCAGGTATGGAGGCAGGGGTGCACAGGCGTACTTCCCCGCCTCACACAAGCCCTGCAGGACAGAAACAACGATCACCGATCAGCACGAACACAAGCAGGTCACTAGCTACACCCGTCACACCGCACACACCGCCCTCTGCTGAACACACTGAAACGAAGCTTTACGAGTGTAAATGTAACCTGAACGCTCGACAGTCAGAAATGAAGTCAAAGAAAATCAGCGGCGGCTCACCTGAAAGGCGGCTTCGTATCTGGCGAGGGCGTCGGCCACAGAGGCAGTCGGGGGCAGCATGAACCAGAGGTGGACGGCCACGCAGCGCTTCCAGTCCAGCTCGGCGCACACGTTCACCAAAGAGTCGGTGGACTGCCACACCTGCAGAGAACACCGTCAGCATCCAACCACAGCTGAAGACTGAGTGGAGGTTGTGCAGATCTCTGCAGGCCCTGATTTCACCCTGACGTCAGCTTTATAATTTACAAGCATTATTAACATGGATGCAACGACTGAAGTCACTGAACAATAACCACGAGAGAAGCTCGTGAAAATATTTCTTGTTTTACATGCTGTTGATTCTTTCCTGGTAGGACGTGATGCGCCAAAACCAACAGAAGGTGGCACTAATTCAGGTCGTTAGCTGACGACCGCTAACACCACAGAAGAAGATACTGCATGTGTCACATTAGCTTTATAGACTCTGGTCATGGCGTCATACCGGTTTCCCGGCGAGCAGAGCGAAGATGCGGAGTCGCTCCTCGGGCAGGTAGCAGTCGGTCTGCATGCGGTGCCAATCGGCGAGCTGAAGGGCGAGAAGGTCCCTGCAGTACTGCGAGCCCACGGCCTGAGACAGCAGCAGGGACAGACGGTGGTCTCCTGGACGGACAAACAGTTCAGTCTGTCTTTCATTACAGACTGGAAAACGTGTCGCCGTGTCTACTGAGCGCCACATTCATGACTCATCGCTGCTACTTCCTGTTTGAGCGAGTGAACCTCACCTTCCTTCTGGGCGAGTCGGCACGCCTCGCTGATGCGGTTTCCCGTCAGGTAGCTGAAAACTGCGTCGACATGGCGACCTTTCCTGGCCAAAGCCACCTCCTCCTCCACCCTGTGGGAGGCACCGTGGGACAGCCAGGCCGAGAAGCTCCGCCTCCTCTCCAGCTGCTGCTCGTACTCGCTGAGCACCTCGGCCTCCTGATCCGAGGGGCCCAGCCGGCCCCACAGCGCCTCGCACAGAGTCCAGACCTCGGCCCAGTACCCCAGCAGCGCTGCAGAGAGAGAGCGTTTAAACCGGCGTCAACACCAACGCGTCGTCTTTCAGCTGTGATGTCATCACTTACGCTCAGTGTCGCCTCGTCTGTCTTTCAGCTCGGCGATCCACTCGGCATACTCGTGCAGCGCCGCCACGCCGGGCTGTGGTCGCACCGCAGGGCAAGCGGAGCTGTCGGGGACCTCCACGATGCTGTGCTTCAGGCAGATCTCCAGGGGGCGCTGCAGCACCGCCTGGCTCTCTTCATCTTCCTCTTCTTCAATGGTTTTCCCTCTGGGAGGCTCCAGACCCACCACCTGCTCCACCACTACCTTGTAGGGGCTTTCTGTGAGTCTGCAGAACCAAATCAAGCAGTTTAATGGAGCTGATCTGTGGAGGGCGCGCCGTGGAAGTAAAACCATTTAAGATCAACGGCACATTACATCAAGGTGAACCGTACAGGCAGATGAAAATGTGCCTGTACGGTTAACCTTACATGATGGAGCCATGTTGTCATGGTAACTATAGACGCAGCCTGGCTGATGTGTTGGCGTGCGGCGTGTTCGTGGCTCTTACGGTTTGCTCCTGGCAGGTTTCGGCAGGAAGCTGAAGTCAGTCTTTGCCGTCAGTTCTTGGTGCTCGAACTGCTTGGACGTTGGCGAGCTCAGCCGGCTGCCGCAGTGTGCGAGCGTCCAGCCGGGACCCCACCCGACCCGGAAGGAGCGCACGGCGAACAGCCCGGTGTCCATGAGTAAACCTCCCTGAAAAACAGCGGCCCGACTTTGAGCTTAGGGGGAGAACTTGTCTCCTCTCGGAGAACCTGCCGTTCACATGAAGATGATGCTTTACAGACTCTGACCTCTGACCTCTAAACTGGATTTCTAAGCGTTAACAGGACTCAGTGACACGTGACCGTCACTTTGAGCACTCGAGGTGTTTTCAGAGGAAACGCCGACCTCCTGAGCACCAACCTTCCCGTGAGTGATCGACTCTTTGAGGGGGACGGGGCCGCCGAGCCGCCGAACGCCAACCGTCCTAAATGAAGGCTCCGGAGTCCGGGAGGGCAGCGTGAAGGGGGACGGGCCAGGCCCCGCCCACTGCAGAGAGCGGGGGGCTTCAACGCCGGCTGGAGACGGCCGTGATGGAGGAAGGAGAGGGCGGGGAGAGTCTGACAGCTGAGGGAGGCCCGAGGTGAATCGAGCCTGAAGGAGACCGCCGGCTGCAGAGAGACAGAAGTTTGATTACGTCGTCGCCATTTTTACTGATGCCTCAAACTGTTAACAGACTGATGAGAAACATCGTGTGAGGGAGCGAGCGGGCGTTTCATACCAGAGGGTCGGCCCTGAGCGGCCGGCAGGACGAGGCGAGGAGACGAGACATCCGTGGAAACCTTCATCGCCGCGTGATCGTGGAACATGTTGGTGTCATCAAACAAATTAAATCAGGTTTCTATAAAAATCTCCCTCATAATATAAACTGAGTTTGTTTACAAAGATCAAACAGTCTGTCAGCATCTAAACATCACAAAAACACAAAACAGCAACAAGTTTGCATAGATGAGTGAGAGGCGATTGGACCCCCGGGCGCTGCTACAAAGAAAACTGATCATTTTAAATCCTCCAAAGAACTCTGACCCTGAAATGAGCCCCGCCCCACACCTTGAACACCTTCATTCCTACAGGTGTGGGGTTCACACACTTCCTGTCTTCTCTTAAAGTAACACACATAAGTAAGCACAGCTGAAGCAGAGTTTTTACAGTTTACACACGTGAGGATTTGGTTCAATTCAACTTTATTTATATAACTCCAAATCACAACAACAGGTGTCTCCAGGCGCTTCATATTGTAAGGTGAGGTGGACACTGGGAGATAACACTTACAACACACTACTCCAACACACACCATACAAAGGAATCGCATTAACTACAGGATGAATACACAGTTCAGCACAAAGAGCTTCTCACATGAATGTTACATCCATAGATGGGAACAACCAGGCTTTGGGAACTAGAGGAAGATACACAGCAGACAGTAGCAAAATATGGCATAGATAGGGTATGTTTAAAGACATTTTCATACCTGAACAAGAATATAGCGACAAATGAGTTTCTTAAATTAACCATAGATGGATTTGTTGATAATGAGGAACAAACATTTCAGATTTTTATACACAATGTAAAGTTATTTTTGTCCTTTATTCACATCAGTGTTTTTTTGGTAACATAATCAAGTTTGATGTTTAAAAAAAAAAAAACAAGCACAGAGATGAGTCCACTGTCAGAGGCCATAAGAAGATCATTTGTAACCTTCACTAAAGCTGTTTCTGTGCTGTGATGAGCTCTGAAACCTGACTGAAGCTCTTCAAATAAACCTCTGCAGATGATCTGTTAGCTGTTTGACAACTACTCTTTCAAGGATGTTTGATATGAAAATGCACCAGCAGTGTTCCAACATGTCTGTATGGTGTTTGGTGATCTGGAGGGCTGTGCTATCTGGATGATGTAGTTGTATATGGTGGCACTTGGGACCATCATGTACTTTACATTTGTTCCCTATCTGAATCACTGTCTGCAGCCTGAGTGACCATTCATTTGATTAAATGTCAGTTTGCTTGTATGACAGTGATGTACTTTGGGTTTGGGTCAGGTCCAGTCAGCTTAACTGAAGGCAATGGCCATAGAAGAGTTCCCCATGCCAAGAACCAATGAGCTGACGTGATTTTTAGGTCAGATGTTATCATAGTTTCTGTCTGAAGTGTTCCTCCACTGCCACTCCCCTTTTTGATCTGATGAAGGAACATGTGACATATGTGTGGTTTCCTTTGTGCTTTTCAGAGTATCAAGGCCCTTCTGTGTGGTGCTCTGACTTTGGCTGCACCCTGTGTGAATAAGCTATTCTGGGGACAGAGTGTTGACAACAGCTACTGGGTTAATGGACCTGTAAATTGTTTTTCTAGAAAAGTTAACAAACATCAGGTCAGTTCCTGATCCAAAAGGAGACCCTGGCTTTACTTTGTACTGTTTTGGATGAGGTTCTCAATGAGCATCTTTTGGTGTTTCCTAAGGACTTGGTAGAAGGCTTCTTTGGAGGTATCACCATCTTTTACAATGTGGCTGAGGAGATTCCTCATCTTCTCTTGAGAGGTCTTGTGAGCTCTGATGTCAGCGTAAACTTCTTCGTCGATAAAATCTTTTTGTAGGAGGTCATCCAGAATCGGTGTGATGTTGCTCACTCTCTGGATCAGCTTGCTTCGGCGTTCATCCACAAAATGCTTTTGTCCTGAGAAAAAAAAATATAGCGACTGATTGGAATTTTGCTGCATTGCTTTTATTTCATGCAAGAAAACATTTTTAATTCATTATACAGTGGTCCCCCGTTTATCACCGGAGTTAAGTTCTAAGAATAACCCGCGACGGGTGAAATCCGTGAAGTAGCCAGCTTTATTTTTTACAATTATTATAGATGTTTTAAGGCTGTAAAACTCTTCACTACACACTTTATACACTTTTCTCAGAAAGGCATGAACATTTTCACACTTTTCTCTCCTGTTTAAACTCTCAAAGTTCAAACCTTTGTAGAAAAATAAGTCCAGTGTTATAGAATGAAACCAGAGATCAAACCTTGTTTTCAGGTCCAGAACATTGAATAAAGCAGCTGTGAGAGAATTCAGCATTAATGAATCAATGGTAAGAAAGTGGAGGAAGCAAGAAGAATGAGTTGAGTAAAGTTTGATTTATCTCACTGTTTTGTTTCGCTTAAAGTGCCTTATAATATGAAAAATACGGTAACTTCTACCTTCCTTTAGCATCTCCAGAAGTCCAACTTTTTGTGCGATGGTTAGCATCTTCCTCTGTCTTGTGGGTGCTACCAAACGTGCCTTTAACGGTGCAAAATGTTTCATGGACATTGTTTTTGTTGGGTAGAAAACTTACAAACATACAGTACAGCACTTTAGAGTCACACTGCTAGCGATCGAAGATTTATGTAAATTTGACAAGCTGAACGCATTCTGTACTGTACAGGAGACACAGGATGAGATTGATTGACAATGGTCTACAGCCAATCAGGATGCAGAACACAATGCGCTGTTTAAAAAAAAAAGCGTGCAAAATTGCAAAACAAAATCCACGAAACAGCGAGGCTACGAAAGGTGAACCATATGGCGTTATTTTTGTGCCAATATTCTGAGCACACATAAAAAAAAGATTTGAGCGCACACATCTTTGCATTTTGAGGAGAAATTTATTTTGAGCGAAGAAAAGCTAAATTTGAGTGAAGAAAACTCATTGCTGCGTGCAAAAAATGTATTTCAGTGTTTGCTATTATCCACACACAACAGCAGCCCCTCTCGCTCAGTTTTTGCGCTCACTCGCAATGTGTTGCTCGCGCTCTCAACATTTCTGTACACCGTTATATTTGCGCCACAAAACCAGCCAATCACAGACTTGGATGCAAAAAAATCTGATTGGCCGTTCTGGTCTCCAATCAGCTCGAAATGACGAAATGCAATATCCTAGAATGCATTTCGTCCAAAACTCAAACGAGGCAGTGGCGGTGGAACACAGAGTGGCAGAGTTTGAAATATTACTCTTTCTGGGTCACAAAATACACTTTTAAGATATTTTCATGCGAGAATGGTGCTGTGTAAACTTCAAATACCTGCTTGATTTATCAAGACATCACATATTTGCAAAAGTGCTCTAATGTTTCAGAGATGCCTGTTACCCACCAGCTGACCGGGTGGTCACTCAGGTTAAACATAATATATAAGGCTGAACTGACAAAAAAAATCATCCGACTACACAAAGCAACACATTGCGAGCGAGCGCAAATGCAAAAACTGAGCGAGAGGGGCTGCTATTGTGTGTGTGTGGATAATAGCAAACACTGAAATACATTTTTTGCAACACTTGCACCTGCAAATTTTTTTTTTACATGCGCTCAGAATAGTGGCACAAAAATAACGCCATAGAACCGCGTTATAGCGAGGGATCACTGTATTTCATTTTAATTTGAAAACAAAAAGAAATATTGAAGTAATCACTTGGGTTCTATGGTAATGAAACCAGAGAATTATTCTCACTTTATTTTAGTCTGGTAAAGTGACCAATCACATTCTTCTCTTGAGCTCCGCCCTTCAAACAATCTAATCCGGTTGTTCAGTGATGACGCGACGAATCCTACTTCCGGGTCTAAAGTAGTCTGTGTTCAATATGGCTTTTGTGTGGTTAACATGTTTAATGTTATATATTTTCTTCTATTTGATCTCAAAAAGCTCCTAAAACAGTCAGTGATCACTGTTGACCTCCGTCGGCTTTTATTACCGCTAATCATTTATTTAAGCTCAGTTTTTAAAACCTTGGATGTAACTACAGCCCAGCCCATGCAGCAGTATATGAATGACTAACCTCGTATTGTGGATGGATCAGTTGTTCTCCTGACTGAAGTTTGGTCCTTTTACAGCATCCTGCCATGCGATTACATTTGTTCCTGACCACCGAGAACACTCACGGTAACTTTTATCGAGTGGGAAAAAAGTTAGCTTGTTTATAGCGACACAGCTATGTTATGCTAACATAGCTGTGTCGCTAGCGGTCACGTAGCACATCATTATATACCAGCTAGCCCAACTTCAGTAACCCTACAAACGTCACTGCTGTTTAGTTTTCTGTCTTCATTTATGCTGGAAGTGATAGCAGAGCTGTACGTTTTAATTTGTTTCCAAAACCCCGCATTCAGGACATGCTATATTGTATTTAGATAGAAGCTAGCGAGCTAACTCCCTGCTAACTTCTAACTCCGTTAAATGTCATAAATTCCGTTTTCATGGATGCCTGGATGCTAAACTCAATTGTTACACCTGGTAGAGCAGAACGCTGATCATTTTATTAAAGATGAAAGACTTTAGACAGTTTTTAACTCTCAGTAATGCCATAGTGATCGTTTGATATATGGACCTGCAGCGGAGTTTAGACCCAGACACGGCTAGTGACGTCAGACTGAACAACCGGATTGCTGCATATCCTGGTTTAATATGTGCATTGAAGGACATGTCCTGGTCAAAAATGACTCCAAGGTTCCTCACAGTGTTACTGGAGGCCAAGGTAATGCCAGCCAGAGTAAGAATCTGCTTAGATACCATATTTCTAAGATTTTCAGGGCCGAGTACAATAACCTCAGTTTGATCTGAATTAAGAAGCAGAAAGTTAGAGGTCATCTAAATTAGTGACATGTCATTTCTTCTCCAGCTTACGAGTTATTTGCTTTAAGATGCATGTTTGAGAATTATAGCAGAGAGTCAAGTCCTTCTGATTTGAGACTCTATTTTCCACAGGAGCTACAGTATTCTGACTCACATGCTACAGACAGAGGCCTGTACTGCAAATCAGAAAAAACCCTTTGAGAAATCATAACATGGAAGCCAGAATGTTTTTGCCCATTAAGAG